GCGGATCACGCATGTGATATTGGCACCACCTGCTCCCACTGCAACTCCCCCTCACCTGACCATAACCATAACTACTAATACTCGATTTAGAATTTTGCATGATTAAGGAGTACTGTTGAAGTGCAACTATCCATGAAAAGCCTAGGTGAAGCAGATGTGAATGCTGTCGCCATTACAACTATCTTCAAAAACTATACCTTTCCGCGAAATCCTTCCCAGCTATAGGGATTCAACCGGTTGATTTTCGGAGGATCTTCCTAGTTCGATGTTATGGGGTTGTATGGAAACAACTAGGTAGCATTTCGGTCAACAGAGAACGACTAGCTGTCGATTGGCACGGAATCAGTATACGCACCAATCAAGCTCAATATTTCAAATGATTCTCATCTTATGCTTTAGTTCTTCATCGAAGACTGTCCGTATGCCAAGCAGGTGTTCACATCATCACTGCCAATCCAAGTAAGGGGGACAACTCATCCCAAAAACGAAACGTCTAGCGTTCTGTCCTTCATTAATTTTTTATAAGAAACTTAAGGATGGATCAATCAGCTGAGCCGTCACAAAGCGGTGTGGTAGCGCAGTCATTTGCGTTGCCTCACTGGTGCAAAGGAGGGCGATGTGGGAATTCCTTTTCTCTCCCAGTGGTAAACTTCTCCGACAATGACGAATCTTGACACGAGGGAACAGAATAGACCTATTTCTTTTGAAAAGCATAGATGTTAGGGAAATATCCAGGTGTCGGAGGTGCCCTGGATCGATATCCGCCGAGGCACACTAAGTGTTCCATCCCTTCGAGGTCGCTAGCAGACTCGTCTGGGAGGATAAAAGCTTTGACTTGTACTTTGGTTGACCACCGTAAGCCATTATAGGGCTTCACACGCATTCAATACACCACTAGGATCCTGAGTGGTAGCCAATTCAGGGGCGCACCCATCAGATGGGATTGAACAGCGCTTAAAAGCTTCATCGTTTCATTCTTATCCAAGAATCAAGTTTGAAATTTCTCTGAAGGCAAGTACATGAACCTTTTTTGGCTAAGACTTGCCCAGGACGTTTTCCGAAGCCTTTTGACGGAAGAATTTCAAGGTGGCCACTGCCAAAGCGGCTTTCAAGAGCGTTTGTCCTTCGCCGTTCCCACATAAACGTCTGCAGGTATTCTGTTGATGATTTTTACTTTGCCGGACACTTAAGACGCTTTGCACTTCACTGATAGCCTCATCCCCCGGAACTTTACCTTTCGATTTCTCTACCGGTATTGTTGGCCATATCCACCTGACCTTTGGATGCATGGAAAAGCTCCCGTTCCGATAAGCTCAGCTAACGTGTAATTCTTGTTGTTTTCACTTTTCGATACTGAACAAATCGTCATGGGTGAGGTAGTCAGCAGATGACGGGGAGAATTCTCCCACCAGTGGCTTAGGTAATTATCGCCAAGGTAGAGGTGTTTTGTATGATACCGAACACAAACATCTTATATAATCGCCTGATGAGAAGGTGATCAATTCGATGCCTAGTTAACTGGGAATGCCCCAACGTTCTGGTTCCCTACGAAAAACCTGCTACTATTCCGTATTCAGGTTTCCTCATTTCCGGAGTTCTGATTTACTGCTAGGGAAGCTCATCCGACACCAGAGCTTTTCACGTCGTAAGATCAACCTCCGCCTCAACTCTTTTAACCATCCCTGTTACCCTGGGATTCCAATTCTCCTAGGAAATCGTGTTTTCTAGTCGATTCGCTCATGAAAACTACGAAGACGTTTGTTTGCCAGGGAGGGTGCAATGGAAGCGAAACCTTAGCCGTCTACGGTAACGAGCCAATCACTAGAAATATGATATCTTTGACAGCTTCTCACTTCAGAGACTTGGCTACTTGGCGGGATAAAGCTTCTATGAACTCACACAGCTTTAGGTTCTGACGAGATTGATTAGAATTGTTGCTGACAATTTTGTTTTGTTGGAGTGATTCCTTCTTTTCACCTCTGACAGCACTGCAATTTTCCTTTAGCTCGGCGCCTGACCGCGCGGACGAAAGGAGCTATGAGATATCTGTAGTTTCTTTTGCAAATCCCAGCTTCTCTCTCTGTAGAACCTCGCATTTGTATACCATTTATAGGTGTATTGTGATTCTTCTGCCACCGAGGTTGCTAGGTGGGAACTTCATGAGTGGTCTGACGTTTCAACACGATCGTCTTTTTCAAGAGCCCAAGAGCCTAAACCACCAAACGCCTCTTTCCCGAGAGTTTCTGATGGAACGTTAAGGAGGACAAACGGAGAAACAACAATTAGGGAGTAAACTCATCCAGCACACCACGCAAGAGCGGACCAGTGCCATTCCGAGCCAGTTATTGTTAGTAACTGAGATTTTCTGTAACTTGCGGTAAACCACGGAAACTATTTTGGTGTAAATTGCAAGATCTTAGCGTAAGAGACTGAGATTTCCACCAGGAAAGCGCTAGGGGCATTCTGGATTCACGCGCGGAATCCCAGAATGGGTAATCGCAGTGAGTGTTTACACCCCATAAATGAATTCTTACGGTTTACGCCTTATTGTGAGCTACTAACGCAAACACTGAGACATGCAAGTCTGTATCTGTTATACAAAGACCGCACAGAAAGCCTCAGTTACTAACCATAAGTGACTCGGTGTGGTGCTGTTCCACACTTACGGTGGTAGTTGGAAAAGTTTATACCCTCGTTGGTGTTTTTCCGATTGTTCGCCCTAACGCTCCATCAGGAACGCTAGGGAAGAGGCATTCGGTGGTTTAGAGGGCATCTCTTAAGCCTTGGGACACGTTTAGCCCTTTGAAAAAGATGATCGCGTCCAAACGTTAGGCCACTCATAGTTTCCACCTAACAACAACCCTAACAAACAACCGGCAGAGGAATCACAATACAATCATATTATTTACTTACTTATTTTTCTAATCTTTTGTATTCGCTGGAGTGCTGAGCATGCTATCGTTCCCATTCAGTATTACTAGTCAAGGATGTCGCCAGGATGATTCTCTTCAACAAATGCTAACTTCTTTTTCGAATTTCGGTCTTGCTGTTTACCCCAAGAAATTTCTAACGACTTGTTGCTCACAGGTGATCTGTTCTATAACCGCTTCTAGTAGTCAAAGCTGAGGTTGGTTCAGGAGTTTCCCCATGTTTGTCGCGATGACCTGGATCCAAAAAGATGTTGTTAAAAGAGGTTCAGGTTATATTGAGACAAACTTCTATGAGTACACCTCCTGACATGATTGATCTGGCCTTCAGCCTACGGGGATGAGTAAATTCCCATCCTCACTCTCTGGAACGCTATCGGTGCTCACAATCCCGAAGGTTATGGGAAAATAACAAGGCATAGGAGATGACGATAATGGAACAAACCCTGAGATAAAAGAAATAGTCCGAGTTCGTGGTGCAATTTTGGCATGAGAGAATCAGCCGAACTTTATCTCCCAAAACTTTCTCACTTGTTGAAGCCATTTTTACCCAACATAAACTCCGGTTCGTCCTGTAGTCTGTTCTCTGTTGACGTTGCTTTTCGCTAAAGATCTATCATATTTGGGGGAGGATACAATATCGGAGGGTGGACCCTGAAACTGTTCCTTACATCGTCCACGCCTGAGAAATAGCGCTATACGTTGTCACCTTCCTATATTTGCTAAACCTCTTTTGTACATTTTCAGACCATAGGCATCAGTCATTTGTTGTTTTCTTGTCCCAACGACCTTATCACTGAACCAGAATATAAAAATAATATCACTCCATTGGTGACGTTTGTTTTGGTCCCAGCCATCTTCTCCTTTTATGAAGGCACCATTCACGGTGATGGTATGAAGAATAAACGAATGCTAATTGACACTTGTTTCAAGCTCACATGGGTTGTCCTTCTCTGAAAAGGACATAAACTCAAGAGGAGGTATCCGTTAGGAGAAAGGGAAGAATGGGCAAAATCAGTGGCCCATCATTTTATAGAGGAGAGTGTCTTCAATCTCTAAAGATTTCAGGCGATTTTTAGAGTTCTGAAACGATTCTCTTGATGCCTTTTTTCGAGACCGCCTTCTGTTCTTTATAGGTTTTTTGAAGATTTCGTGCAATCTCCCCAGCTCCTCTGTACAATCCACCTTATTCTACTGACGAAGTAGCCTGTTTTCAATCTTCTCATCCATAACTGATCAATAACATAACATCCTTCCTATATGTCATTTTACGCTCTTACGTCGAGATAAGATCGGATACTGCAAGGAGCATCAGCAGGTTCAGACTGGCTGATAGCTTCCCATGTTCCTTCTCATTGCTTCTTCGCTCAAACAAGGGATACAGTGGTAAAGTATGACATACTGCTTCGAAATTCTGGCTATTCTTGGGAAATCCTACCCTATTCGCACCCTTGAAGTGGATTTTTCGCGATGACTCCATATTGTTATAAACATTTTAATGTTACATCTCGAAAATAGGCGCAATCTGGATTGATTTCGAGATCCTTACCCTGTAAATACACCCCTGATTCCTGAAGTATGCTTGACGGTAGGATTGTTGGTGCTTTGGTCGATAACAACTAAGGAAAGGTGCTAGAGCGAGAGCTAATTAGCGAGATCGCAGAGACAAGGTTTATTGAGGACTTAATCTTGGAGGTGTCGGAAAAAAAAGCTACCGTACCCATTTTCTGCGAGGTTGATGTATTTATTGACAACCAAAATGCGGTCACCTTTTTAAATGCTTAATTAAGCATGCCTGGATTTTGACATAGGGTAGAGGTAGTATCCAGTATAGAAAAGCCATCTGACAATGAGAACCAATGCGAAAAGAAGCCTGAACTCAAAAACGTTGTATGCTCTTCTTGGGAGCTCCTCATCTTGGTGGTGAGCGGTCATCATCCACAAAATGTCAATGTTTTTTCTGTTGAACGATTGCCTCCTAAAATACTTTGTTGATCAGTTCAATGCATTCCAGGTATGATATATTCCTTATCGATTGATTGCAGTACCAATTTACAATCACTTCTTTCAGTACGTAGATCTCGTGAATTGTGGGTTCTTGAAATGGGTGATGCCCAGCCGATTGTCGAACCAATTCTTGTGGCTCGAAAACCATCTCGAGGTAAAATACACTTCTATATAAAAGAGAAAATGAACATTGTGACATCTGGGTAGTCAGTCCTGTCCCGGAATACGCCATGATTATGTATTGAGTCTACACTACGACTGATGGAATAGTTACTTGCAAAAACGAAGGTACATCGTGCTAGAAAATTTGCTGTTAATCAAACAAATCGACAAAGGTGGTTGTCCCGAGCAGATGGGCGCTGAAATTTGGTTCCCGAGAAACGCAGGCTAGGACTATTCTTAAATTAATTCTCTTCGTTATCTAAGCTCTCCTACTCCTGGTAATGTTCTGCTGTACATGGATTTGACAGTTGGTTGATTTCGTCTTTTTGACTATCCCATAGAAGGTGTGTCCCTGAGTAGATTCATATACATAGACTGGTTCTACTGAATGCCCCACAAATCTATTCGTTGGGTTGAGAAGATTAATGGCGGATGTGGTTGTCTGTCTCGTGGGGAAGCACTATGCTCACGTTTTCTCGCAAATCGTGGGCATAGAGCTCGGTAAATAATTTTTATGATGGATAGGATTTGTACCGGCCAGACCACGTGAGTGATAGCACCGCTTTTTTCCACTGAACCACTCAGATCAATGACATTTTATCAATTCTTTACAGTACGATTACTAAGTATTGGGTCAGACAGGAAGTTTTAGGGCTTGGCACTGCCGCTGAGTATCAACCACATGCTCCAGCTGCTGAAAAACCAGCCACACTTGCTGTGAGAGAATCGGATAGCATTGAAACAATTGGAGGTATGCGAGTAGATTTCAACAATGAATAAATAATGTCTTATTGAATGCATTTTTGTGACACTTCATAGTCACAGGGTCAACTTGAAAAAATATTTTTTAAATAGCTGTTGCAAAATGGGACAAGTTCGAAGCTTATAAAAACCGACCGAAAGTGAACTGGAACAGTCATCGTTCTGAATCGACGACATGTTCGAATTTTCCGAAAATTCCTTTTTTTCCAGGAGTATCACCAAAAGTGGAGTCGCGAGTGACCGCGATGCGGCGTCGCTCGTCAGTCGCGCGAGACCGATGGGCTACAAAAATGGAGTTCCTACTAGCGGTGGTCGGGTATGCGGTCGATCTGGGCAATATCTGGCGATTTCCATCAGTCTGCTATAAGCATGGCGGAGGTTTGTGACTGTGCAGGGTCACACGGTATCCCATTCCCAACTTCCGATATCTAGGCGCATTTCTGATCCCTTACTTGGTAATGTTGTTGGTTGGAGGCTTACCGATGTTCTATATGGAGTTGGCGCTGGGCCAATTTCATCGATCCGGTTGCGTGAGCATTTGGCGGAAAGTGTGCCCGTTATTCAAAGGTGATTCTACAGCCTTTTTTGATCGCTTGTCAAAAGCTCACCTACCGTATCAGGTCAATACTTTTTTTCAGGGATCGGATACGGTATCTGTTTTATTTGCACATTTATCGCCTGCTTCTACAATGCTATCATTTCACATGCCGTCTATTTTGTTGCAAGTTCAATTGCGGTAGGTGCTTTGGAACATGCTGAATTTCCAATTTCTAATATTCCTCATAGAAAAAGTTTCTGTTCGTTCTTTTACCTAGAAGGATTCATTTCACCTATTCTACTCTTTCTAACTTCAAGATCGGAGTCAGAAAAGTGTCTGCATTCTGTTGAATCCGAGTTAATTAACAATACTCAAAGGTGGGAAGCTGTTGACGTAAACAGAAATCGATCTGCCATTGATTCTTGAGCCATGCGTTGGAAGTGGTGGCGTTTGTTCGTGCTAATCCTCTTCCTCTGACCCGGTCGAACAAGGTGGAAGACGCAACTATGAGAATTCTCCTGTATTGTACGGTCATGAGATTTCGAATAAGAACTTCTTCGGCTTAGGGTATAGCCTTTTTCTAAATGGATTGTCTGGCTCTACTCGAAATGAATGGCATCTTTCATAGTCCACGACCGGTCGCGCGACCGATCGCGCGACCGGTCGTGGACTATGAAAGATGCCAATCTGCAGCGTAGGCAGAGCGGAGGTGGTGTGGTGCGAAGTTGTGCACCTACACCTACAGACAGGAAATGAAATTCAGACCTGAGATCCTGATAGACCAATACAGTCTCAGATTCATCTAGGGGCTATCAATCGGTACTAGCCTAGTTCGAGTGTAGAGACACGGAACCTTGTTTACAAACCCAGTTTTTTTCGCATGACTCAAGAAAATTTGACCTTGGTTTGAGTTGAGCAGTGTGGGAGGGACCATAGGCTTTCCCACAACATTTTGTCTACCAATAAATTTCCAATACTAAACTCTTCCACGTCGATAAAGCACTTTGTTCTTTGTAGGGCTAATTGAACAGTAAAAAATTTTTTTGAGACAGTTTTATGATAGAACCCAAACCTGGATCTCTGTCCTGGTGAAGGCAAATCGATTCGATCTCATCTGCCCTGAAGGTCATCGATCAGGGCGGATATGAACAAGGTAGACATCAAAATTTTCTAGCGATTTTTTAATATGGTAGTTTATCATTGCAATCTTTCCTAAAACCTTTGATCGCTTTGCGGAAAAGCAGAAAACCTTACTTTGAACGACACTGAACGGTGATCTGAGACGACTCGGTGATCCTGTGAATATGAAAGAAAGCAGCCAGTTATTTCTTCATATGCCAATTCAGACCTGTTTCTATTTCAGCTTGAAGTCCCATGGAAGACTTGTAATAACTCATGGAACACACCGCTTTGTACCGACACACTAAACGACACATTGGGAAAGGGCGGTGAACGTCTGACGACGCCTAGCGAAGAATTCTATTTGTAAGTAGCTCTGTTTGCTCTACACCTGCCTTAAGTGCTCCGTCTGATGTAGATTTCAATGACTGACTTCTAAAAGGCCTTCCAAATTTTCTTCTGTACATAGTTGATATGAACACGAAAGCAACTGGGAACATCTTGCGGTATTTGGTTCAGTATAACTAATGGAAGTGATATTTCAGAGTAGGGCTGGAGTGGTGGAGAAAACGCGAAAACCGGCGTATTTCGAAAGATATAAGGTTTCAAAAAGGCGGTAAAATTATTGGACCAGAGTGTGGCGACAAAAGTTGCATGGAAGGGATATTTGGACGAGTTGTCCACCAAATATGTATGCCACTACGTACAGCTAGCTACAGTAAGCCACCTGCATGCCATGATGCATCTATGGCCTCTGCAACGCCGTGAGTACTCGTCTTCCTTGGGGTGTATACGTGGGCTGGTTTTGAGACCCTTCTTATGCCCTATCTGTGCCGTATTTCGACCGGACAACACCTCTAGCATTACATTTGGGGGTCACAGGTCCATCCCAGAGAGAAATCTCAGAAACCGTTTCCAAGGTGAACTGAGACCCAGTGAAAAATAAGCAACAATTATTTACCTTTTTTTCCTAAAATAAATGTATAAATTTATTAAATCACTAATTCGAGCACCTTTTAATCTCGCATTTGTTTTATTATATTTTTTTTTGTGCAACTCTTTTTTTTTCTCGACTAATATGAATGATAGGTTGCCGACCTCTGAGGGTAATGAAAACGCAGAGAAAACCAATTATCGAAACGGAATCAATGTCAATTTTGTTATCCCAAACTTCCGCTTAACTAAATAACTAGTTAATCGCGGAAAAAATTTGGGCAGGCTGAAAATGGTCAGCAACTTTGGGCTTGAGTTTACCAATACTTAGCAGAATGATACTTTGACTGTGATGGTGAAGAGTGTTAGCGTCAGATGCTCTACGTCAGTGCTGTGTCAATGCTGAATCTGAATGCGGCCGTTGTTGCATTCTTAGAATTTTTGTGTACTTTCACATGTGTACTTTCACATTTTCTTCTCATTTTCATGTTGTTCTAGTCATCGAGTGTTGGAAATCCAGAAATCTACTGGATTTGACGATTTGGGAGGAGTAAAACCATCAATGGCACTGTGCCTAGCCTTTGTTTTTGTTCTCGTCTACTTTGCCCTTTGGAAAGGGCCTAAGAGTTCAGGAAAAGTAAGTTGCACTTTTTTGTTTTTGTCATGGTTTGAGAGAGTTTTGGAACAGAGGGGACACAGCGCTATAGTGAGGAGGTGCCAAGAACCGCTTAGCTGAACAACTTATGAGGCTGGGGCCATTACGAAGAAATGATTGACTAACGGAGTACGCGCGGATGAAGTTGCTCTCCTGCTATACTCTCAATATGAAAAGGAGGAAATATCTTTGCTAACGCTGTCTTCCTAGATCGATTTTTCGCCCTCCCCTCCCCCCCCCCCCC